TGGTACAGATGCGGTTTTCGGCGGGCGCGTGGCCCGCGTCGCCGGCGCCCGCGATCCGGGGCCGCGCGAAAACGCTTGGCCCCTAGGCCATGTTGGTCTCGACCGCCGCGCAGGCGCCAGAGGCGCACGGGGCCAGCGCCATCCGCCGCGGCGCTCGCGCGCATCTGGGGCTAATTGCCGGCGGGGTGGCTCGCGGCCCGCGCGCGGCCCGTGCGGCCCCGCCCCGGCGCGGTTGCCGTCGCCGCGCGGGGCGGCGGGCGGGCCGCGCGGGGGGCGGCCATGGAATTTGTGGAGGGCGTTCAATGGAGGGGATGCGTGTTGCCAAATAATTTCCATATGTCTACAACATGTCTTAGACGTATTTCAGATATGTTTAAACATGTTTAGAACAGTTTCCAACACTTTTGAACGCATCTAAAATTCAATGGTAAGACTGTCACGGTGTCCATTGTCGCGGCATTCGCAACATGAAACTCTCTTCGGGCTCGATTCCCCCTGCGCCGCCTGGCTCCCTCGACCACTTTCGCCATGTCTTTGCGCGCCCACTCCTGTGGACTCCGTCACCGCGCAACCCTCCGCGCGATGCCCCCCCGCTGCGGCGAAAAGGAAGCGGGCGAGGCCCGGCCGGCGGACGGGGCGCCCACTGCACCGCGGACCGCGCAGTGGCGCGCATTCCGGGCGGGCCGCCGCCGCCGCGGCGCTTCGCGCTGGCCTCCGGAGGCCGCCGAGGGCCCTGCTGACGGCCCCCCCCTTGGGCCTCCCGAGCAACTGTGGCACCCTTTGCCTTGACAAACCCGAGCGTGTAAAGTTTGCGGGTCGGCACTCCTGCGACGGATCGGTTCTCGACGCCCCATCCCCGCGCGCGCTGGGCGCGCGGGCTGGTCGCTCGGCGTGGCGATTGGACGCGGGGGCCCCGCCTCGGCCGCGCTCGGCGCCGCGCCCCGGGGCCATCGCGCCGCCCCAGCGGGCCAGAGACGGGAGAGATTGTGCGTGCGAAATGCTTGTGCATTCCCCCCCGTCTCGATATTTCGAGACACAGGAGATTTCGAATCAGGCCGCGGGGATGTCGAAGATTTCGAAGATAGGTTTCGGAGATTGATTCGAAGAAGAACACGTTTCGGAGATTTCGAAGAAGAGAAAACGTCATATACATAAACTTTTGGCGCTCCGCGCGGATTTCTCGGATCCGCGCTGGACCTCCCCCCCCGGCGCCTCCGGCGCCGCCCCTGGCGCGCTCCGCGCGCCAGGCGAGGGGGGGGGCCCAATCCGCGCGGAACGCCAGAAGTTTATATTCATGACGTGTTTTCTTTTTCTACTGGACTGGCTGCGTCGGTTGGTTCCGCAAACCTGAGGGCCCGCGCGCGGGCTAGAGTTTGGCGCGTTCTCGAGGACGGGGACGTTGCCCTGAAGACTCTGGGACACGCTGCCTTCAGGTGACGTGGCCGAGTGCCGCTCGTCTCTCGCTTTGAGTGAAGAGGCAGCAGGCGCGCGGACAGGTTTGCCAAGCTAGGGGCTGCTGCGTCCTCGGGTTGTCTGGTCTGCACATTAAAAAGAGCAGGTGGATATCTGCAGATGGGGGGAAGGGGGGGTCATTCAGGACGTCCTGGTGAGCCAAAGTGAGCTGGCCGGATTGGATTGGTTTCCCTGATGAGGTCCACGATCAGGACCTCGCGCGCCCCACATCCCCTACATAAAAGCAGCACGAGTGCGCTTGGCCAGGCGGTTTCCGCGGCTGGAAGAAGCTGCCTGGGCTAATTCAGTCGCGCGAAGGTCGCTGCTGAGCTCCCGCCCGCCAATGTTTGTTAATGCCGCCTAGCCTGATGCTTCCCATCGCCAGTTGACGGAGGCTCAGGCAATCGTGTGGCTCCAGGGTCACAGCCTGCCGATGATGATGAAAGTCAGGGGCGGGGCGGGGGCGAGGCCGCGGGGTGTGGATGTGCCAGGTGCGGGGGCTATGCGTGGGCAGGTCTTGATTCTCTTTGTCGGAGTTGCCCCTGCCAGCCCTTGCCCCCCCCTCCATCACCAAATATTTATGGCAGCAGAGATCGCGTGCCTTGCGACGGCTTTTTGCCAGTCGGGCTACGCAGTAGAGGGGCTGAATGATTTCACAAACGAGGTACCCTACTAACCCCCTCAGCCTGATTTGGTCCAAGGGGGACCCGCGTCTCCCACCTCCTCTCCTCTCCTCCTCCCTCCTCCTCCCATCCCTGCCTTTGCCCCCCGTCTCGCGCCATCAACCATTCGGCACACCCTTGAGACGTCTCGTTGCCCCAGAGGGAGCCCCACCGACGTCCCCAGTGGCTGCGTTCGAATGCGCCCGCCACGCCAATTTCGGCACACCCTTCACACGCTTCGTGGCCCCATAAGGAGCTCCGCCGAAAGCCCAAGTGGCCGCGTTCGCATGCGCCCGCCGCACACATGTCAGCACACCCTTCAGACGCTTCGTGGCCCCATAGGGAACTCCACCGAAGGCCTCAGCGGCTGCGTTCGCATGCGCCCGCCTCGCCCATTTCGGCACTCCCGCGGCACGCTTCGTGGCCCCACAGGGAGCTCCACCGAAGGCCCCAGTGGCTGCGTCCGCATGCGCCCGCCGCACCAATTTCGGCACGCCCCTCATGCGTTTTGTGGCCACATAACGAGCTCCACCGGTGATCCAAGTGGTTGCGTTCGCATGCGCCCGCAGCACCCATTCCGGCACAGCCCCATCGCAGATTTCGTGGCCCCGCAGGGAGCTGCACCGAAGGCCCCACTGGCTGCGCTCGCCTGCGCCCGCCGCACCAGGCACCGATTTCGGCACACCCCTCCCACGTCGTGGCCCCGTAAAGAGCTCCACCGAAGACGATGTGCACAACCGCGTTATTCACAATTGCATATGGCTGGGTTCTCAGCCAGGCTAATTCTGGAAGATCCCACCTGGGGCGAACTTTGGAACGCCCCACAACTCCTGACCACGTCTGCGGCCCTCGCATTCGCCGGCAAATTGGATCCCCGTGCTATGGTTGATAAGAGTGTTGGGCATTTGGAAACACTTCCAATAGGCATAGCATTGCATATGAGGAAGATGAGGAGGGGAATAGTGAGATGGTGGAGGATGAAAGGAGGAGGAGGAGGAGGAGTTGGAGGAGGAGGAGGAGGAGGAGGAGCAGGAGCAGGAGGAGCAGGAGGAGGAAACGAAAAGGGATACTGAGATGGAGGAGGAGGAGCAGCAGCAGCATCAGCAGCAGGCGGAGGAGGAAGAGCAGGAGGAGGAGGAGGAGGAGGAGGAAGAGTAACAGAAGGAGAAGGAGGATATGAAGGAAGGGAAGGACAACGAACGACGGACGAGGGAGTAGGCAGGGAAGAACAGGGGCGGGGCACAAGAGGCGGGCAGGCAGGCAGGCAGGAGTGCACGAAGAAGGAGGGAACGTACGGTGGCAGAGGAGCCCAAAGGAGGAGGAAGAGGAGGAATGATAATAAGAAGGAGAAGAGGAGCAGGAGGAGGATGAGGAGGAGGGGCTTGAGGCAGAGAATTATTATTGCTATTATTTTTGTTATCATTATTATTATTATTATCATGATTATTATTTCTATGAATATCAGTATACTGGTGGGGACGAGGATGAGGATGAGGACGGGGATGAAGATGCTAAGGATGATGTCGACGATGATGCGGAAGATGATGGTGCTGATGCTGCTGGTGATGACGATGATGATGATGCTGCTGATGATGATGGTGATGATGGTGATGGTGATTGTGATGATGAGGAAGAGGAGGAGGAGGAACACTTTTACCAGAATTACCAACAGTATCGTTATTCTTATTATTTACATGTGCACCCTCATTATTATTAGTAGTATCTTCATTCGTAGAATTCGTATTTCATCATTCGTATGTTATCCTTATTCGTATTAGTTTGATTATTCGATTGTTGATTTTTAGTTTCTGTATCATGATGCTTAGCCACATTCTTATTACGATGATTCGGAGTATGATGATTATGTTGATGTTGATTATGCAGTTGCTGATGGCGAGCATGATGGTGATCATGACGATGCTGGTGCTGACGATGACGATGATACATCTGATGATGTTGATGATTATGATCCTGACGATGATGCTGATGCTGATGCTGATGCTGATGCTGATGATGGCGATGACGATGGCGATGACGACGATGCGATGCTGATGATGCTGCTGGTGATGATGATGCTGATGCTGATGATGATGGTGCTGATGGTGATTGTGATAATGCTGATGCTGATGATGATGACAATACTGATAACGAGGATGATGCTGATGATGCTGATGCTGATGCCGATGATGGTGAGGGTGATAATGATGATGTTTATGCTGATGCTGATGCTGCTGATGATGATGACTACGACGATGGCGATGGCGACGACGACGATGTTGCTGATAACGGTGCTGCTGCTGGTGATGATGGTGATGATGTTAACGATGATGATGGTGTTGATACTGCTGGTGATGACGCTGATGATGTTGATGCTGATGCTGATGCTGATGCTGCTACCGATTGTAATGCTGATGATGATGCTGATGCTGATGATGGTGGTGACGATGATGCGGATGCTGATGATGCGGAGGATGAAGCTGAGGATGATCATGATGTTGATGATGATGACGATGATGGCGATGCAGCATCATCGTCCTCGTCATCATCATCACCATCATCGTCTTCATCCTCATCATCATAACCAGCACCAGCATGCGTATCGTCATCATCATCATCAGCATCATCAGCAGCATCATCATTGTTGAGAGGAGGAGGAGGAGGAGGAGGAGGAGGAGGAGGATGAGGAGGAGGAGGAGGACGACGAGAAGGAGGAATTGGAGGAGAAGGGGGAAGGAGGATGAGCAGGAGCAGGAGCAGGAGCAGGAGCAGGAGCTGGATAGGGAGCAGGAGCAGGAACAGGAACGGGAGCATTAGCAGGAGCATTCGCAGGAGCAGGAACGGGAGCATTAGCAGGAGCAGGAGGAGGCGGACGGCGCCTCCCGAGAG